CCAATCAGGCTCCTATGTCCTCTGCCTTCATGATTGAATGTCCACTTCGTTTGAAACGAACGCAACAATCGAGGACGGCTTTGCAATGAAAAATAAAGCTATTGGAGCTGGAAAAAAAAAGAAAAAACGTGCTCAGGATGAGTCTCGTGTACACGCATACTCTCCCAGCATGTGAAACGCAATTTTTTGTGAAAAAATGCGTGTCGCCGACTGACCAGTAATTTCGCCTGACGTGAGCGGGCAAGGGACAAACCGGCATGGACAGCGATGGTCTACAACTAATGATACTGAACTAGAACAACGGAAAGATTCATCAAGAGACAGCAGCGGACCGAACATTAGTGTTGCACAATATTAATGTTCCATTACGCGCAACTGTGTTATTATTAGTAGTAGTCATACTGGGCGGAGTTAAAAAATTAAAAAATCGCGACCTGCACGAGCTAAAAATCCGCCGGACCATTGGAAATCTTCTTCCTACGCCCCTGTGGTCTGGCGGTATTTCTACACTCGCTGGTCACATGAACAGCATGGCAGATTCCTTACATCATAAAGAACGTGATTTCACTGGTGTTCCAGCTACATAGTCAGGGAAAGTCCCAGTTCGCAGGCCCACGATACGGTCAGGGCCCTGTTGAGTTTCGTAACAAAATGAGCGTGATCGTTTCTCGACAAACAGGGTTTCAAGCCAGGTCACAAGCGCACTTGACCAAGGTGACTCAGATATCTTGTGAGCTGTGATTCGCGAGACTTGGCATTCTTGCGTCACGTGGCGCAGCATTTCACCGTGCCTCTTGCAGAAATTTTCAAAAACTGCGCTCTGGACTTCAGTTATTTTGCATCAAAAGTCTCACCAAAAAATGTTGGTGACGGAAGGAGAAGCTTATCATTTTGGGGTGACAAGTGATCCCTTTCTTGCTTTTCCTAGTCAGTCAACAATTCACTCTGTTCTGCAGCGTTTGGAGGATGGTTGGAGTAGAATTTGCTGGTGATACATCGTTGAGAGGCGAGCTTTCCTGCGCAGGTATTAGCTTCACCGTATTTCAGCAATTAGAAAAATTTAAGGAAAAACTACTAGCCATCTTCGTCTTAAGGAATTTTTTTAAGGAAAAAAATGGAGGCGTATCCAATTTCGAAAGAAAAGGTGTCAGCACCGACGCAATTCACACAGTCTAGTTAGCCAATTTGGTAACCGAACGTTTTCGTTCCCTTCTCATCATGGGTAAGTACAGGGAATAGCGTATAGTGTGAGGTTTTCGATCTATGCTTTTGCTGTAGCTCTATAAATTGTTGTATTTTGACATTTTTCCATTATTACCTGTACTTACCCATGATGAGAAAGGAACGAAAATGTTCGGTTACCAAATTGGCTTACTTGACTGTGTGGATTGGGTCGGTGCTGTCACCTTTTCTTTCGAAATTAGAAAAATTTAAATTTGTTTATTTCAAGAAAACCCAAAAGAAAGATGAGGGACATGTCCCCAGTGCTAGAAGAGGTGTTCTACCATCTGCCGGTGTATAGTTCTTGCTAATTGCGGACGCAGCTCGCTGTTTCATCGGTGCTTGTAAATAGGCTATTTTCAAGACGATCTTTTATGGCATCAGGGGGTGATAGCCTTTCGTCTTCTGAGATGTGTTATAGACTGCATTTACATGCCGTCGCTGCATGCTTCTCTCTCGCTGCTTCTTCGTACAACATTATCTCCATTCGCGCATGTCTACGGTATTCTCTCATCATGGCTGCTGGCCCTTACCTGGTTGCTCTGGGCATGCTCGGGCCATTCTCTTGTTTACCTTCGTAATGATAACTACCAACCATAATTACTCGTCGTGTTGCTTGTGACTGTCGTGTGCCACAAGCATGCAGTAACTAAGTGTAAGTTACAACAATTGGCGACGAAGATGGCCAGTAGTTTCAATCTCCACGAGGGTCAGTCCAATCGTCTGCCTACGTTCGACTCGTCAGGTACTCCTGGGGAGGTTGGCCAACGCTGGAAGAAATGGTTCTGCAGCTTTGAATACATGGCGGAAGGAATGGGTATTTCTGACACTAAGCGTTTGAGATCTCTTTTACTACATTCGGCAGGCCCAACAATTCAAGATATATTTGACGATCTCACCGATCCTGCAGCAACAAGTCCTCCGGCGGATGACGACGAGTTCAAGAAAGCGTCACTCATGCTGAGTCACCACTTCAAGGCCGAGCCGAACCCTATCTACGAGCGACACTTGTTTCAACAGCTCGCCCCCAAAGCCGGTGAGAGTATCAGTCAGTTTGTTGTACGTTTGTACGTTTACGGCAACAAGCTAGATTTTGGTGATGTCACCAATGATATGATCCGGGACCACGTGGTGGCAAAATCAAAATACGCTTTCTGGTCATCAGTTCAAACCTTTTGCTCGCAAGTCGCTTTTTCTAGGGGATTTCCCTTTTCTACAGCGCATGCATGTTGGACATCGAACAAAGCGCTTGGATCTCAGTTTTGCAGCTTGGTTTGAATCGTGAAGTTTGGTTTAGTTTGAGAGAGATGGCGAACGAAAATGCATTATGAAGTTGTTTAGCGTACCTGAGACATGTAGGGGCTTCTTCTAGAGCACATTAGTAAACAGACACATCGTAAACTATTTTGAGGACCACCATCTGCTCACGTCGCACCAGTTTGGATTTCGCAGAGGCCTCGGCACATCAGACGCTTTGCAAGCTCTCCAAACTGCCTGGGCAAGCGCTGTGGGCTGTGTAGGGGCGGCTCGTATCCTTGCTGTGGACATCGCAGGAGCGTTTGACCGTGTATCACATGTCGGCCTCCTCCACAAGGTGCGCAGCCTAGGCATCGATGGTCCGCTCCAGAGATGGCTTGCCTCGTACCTGGACACCCGTTCCTTACAGTGCCTTGTTGGAGGGCGTTCGTCAGCTACGTATACGACCTCCGCTGGAGTCCCCCAGGGAAGCATTCTTGCTCCAACGCTTTTCTTGGCATACGTCAACGACGCGCCAGACGTTCTCGCTGACGGGCGCCAGCTTGGAGGCCGATGCTGATGACACAACCTCATAAAGCATAGTCACCTCCCAGCAGACCCCGGAAGTCGCAGCGCAGTGACTGCAGGTGTCCGTTGACCGACTGCACGAGTGGGGCCGTACGTGGAAAGTGACTTTTGAACCAACTAAATCCCAGGCCATGACAGCCACCCTCAGACGCGCCGGCTTAGATCTCCCCCTCCCCCACTCCTGTTTGGTGGCACACTGGTGCCCGAGACAACCAGCATCACCCTCCTTGGTGTGAAGGTGGACGCCAAGTTGACCTTTGGCGATCACCTACGCTCCGTAGCCACCCGTGCACGCCAACGGCTTGGGGTCCTAAACAGAGCCGCCCACATCCTCACCCCCGCCGGCCGGACGACAGTGTATAAGGCGTTCGTACGACCAGTCATGGAGTATGCGCCTCTTGTATGGATGGGAGCTGCGCAGAGTCACCTCCAGCGTCTGAACAATGTTCAGCGCCGCGCACTCAATGCTATCGACCCTGGGGCACACCTCTCCAGCTTGGCCATCCGCCGAACTGTTGCCTCGCTTGCCTGCCTGTACAAGCTGCACTACTTGCCTGGTCCACCGCAGCTGCTCTCTGTGTTGCCACCGCGCCATATCACCTCTGCCAACCCCAGAACCCGCAGCGAGCACGGTAGTGTCAGTGGCCATGACCACCAGATCCAACACCAGCTGCCTGCATCTGCCCTGCTGGCGCTGAAGCGCTCGTTCCCACACTGCAGCATCAGCGATTGGAACTCCCTCCCTGCCGCTCTCCTGTCCCAGCCTCCCCACAGCAAGAGAATGCAATCATTCAAAACGAACGTTTATCGCCATTTTCGCAGCACAAACTGGCTCTGGGCAGTCGATTCCCTATGAATAGTATGATGCTATGATAGTTTCTCCCCACACTCACTCGTGTTAAGCCTTGGGTTTTTCGCATCTTTCTGACCTGTACAGCTCTATCTTCTTTTTTTCCTTGTTTTGGTGCGTGTTTTTGGCCGTGACGCCGAGACCTCAGGTCGGCAGAGTCATCAATGCCCCACCATCACTGCTGCGTCTAGGCACAGCGCCTGCTCATTACTTGTCAGTTTGTCCTAGTCTCTGTACCATTGTTTTTCCTTATTCTTTTCGAGCTGGTAATGTGAACATAGTAAAAAAACAAAAAAAACAACAACATAGAAGTGACCCTGTAATGCTTATGAAGCTGAGAACGACTAGGGAGTCTTCGCTTGGCTCAGGCCTTTCCAACAAGCCATAGATCGTGGAAATCAATCAATGAATGCAAAAATGGCGAAATGTTTTGCGCGGCGACTTGCATGCAGGGTTTGAGATGAAAGCAAGTGCGCTGAAATCTTAGCCAGCAGGGGGAAACCAGACCAGTAGCAAAAGGGTTAAACAGCGCAAACCAGTCTCAATTTGTAAAACGCAAACATTTGTTGTCGCAAACGTTAGCCGTTTTACAGTAGATGGTGACTTATCCTGGTAGCAGAAGGCAGCTCCTCAGCAGTTCAAGCAGTTCATGCACTGCGACTGACAAGCAATTTTGGTGTCGGCATATAAGCCCATGCCCCCTCATAAGCCCATGTTCTCGTATAAGCCCACCGGAAAGTCCCTGTGAAACAGATAAGCCCATGGGCTTATCCGCGGGATTCTACGATATGTGATCTCGGTAGTGTCCAATTTGAGCTCACTGTACGGAGCTCCAGAATGGCACAGGATTGTGAAAGTTGGTCGATTAGAACCGAAGATACTCTCAGAATAGGGTGAGAAATATTGCATTTGGGACTGCTGGGGAATTTTGGTCGGATGGTAAAGGGTTAAAAACGAGTATACTCGTCCTTCGTCCTCAAAGGGTTAAAGCCAAGAAAAAGTTGAAGAGTCTTCCCCGGTATGCCGGTATTTACTGGTGACTAAGAAAACAGACAAAAAATTGTCTTTAGACAAACTCTGTGAGTGGAAGACATTGACTACTTACAATTTTTGGATGTCTGTACAGTTTTCTATCAACTTTGGTGGTAATACGCTGATGAAGTTGTTCTTCAAGTCCCTGTGCGCAATGGAAATTCAGTAGTAAGAGACAGAATGTTAAAGCCATGGGCCGCAACCAATTATTACTAGTTGAAAGGGTGTATCTTGTCAATAGAGAGGTTCCGGAGTACAATTGTTCGTGCCAAAATCCGTAGAGGCGCTACGGATTTTTCATACTTCGTTTTCAAGCAGTGAAATGCCGGAGTACGGAACTTGTGTGTTTGCCGTCATTGCCTAGGTTACGATCGCAAACACGCCATTATCCCGCGCTGTACCTTTTTATTCTGAAAATGAGTACCGAAATCGAAACTTCCCGCGGAAAAACGATGTTTCTCGTACCAAATTTGTACGCGAAAAATCTTTCTGCACTCGATGACGCAACATCTCCATACAAAACAGGGTTCGTATGAAAGCCAGTCCACACGGATTCTCCGTGCCGAAAAATCGTATGAAGCACTCTTCGAATAAATCCGTAGCGACCGTATGGATTTTGGCACGGAAAATCGTACCCCCAGAACCTCTCCAATGTCTTCATGTGCTCCCTAGGCCCTATCCATCTAGGGGGGTTTTTTCGTCATTTTTTGTTGACCGAATCTGTCTTGTGCCTGAGTTCTGTATTCTCACGATGGCACCATCGCCAATAAGATATAAGTCATAGCCAGCAATCGCACGTCCTCACGTGCATTGAAAATCAGCATATTTTTTTGTGAATCAATCATTTTTCAGCATCACTTTTCAAAGAGGACAAAGCAAAGTCGGCCGAACGAAGCCTAGAAGAAGAGAATCATCTTGTCCACTTCACCATCACGATACTGACATACGTCTATCCAGACGCCGCCACCGCCGCTCATAGTGACTTCTGGGTCCGGTCAGTGAGTGCGTTCGATTATGCCCGCGAATCAATTCACGCTATTCACATCACCCCACGTGAATAGGGTGAATGGATTCCGAGTTGATTCTAGGGCTCATGACATGAAAATCGAACGACTTGAATGCATGCGAATGGATTCATGAATCGATTCAAGTGCATAATCGAACGCAGCCACTGAGCGTATAGATGCGACACAGACACTAAGATCTGGCAGCGAGACGATTTGCTTTCATCTGCAACCTGGTCTGCAGCGCCATGCTGCATACACATCAACCACCATTCTCCAAACTTGACAAAAGTCTCTCTCAAACAAATCATCGCTGTCCTCAGCAAAACGTGCCCGTGCTCGTGCATGCATACGGCTTCCACTTGCAGCGTACGCACCAAACCAGCGTGTATGTGTACTGCAGTTTGCGCGTGGCAAAAGAGAAAACGAAGCGCGGCGCAGCACAGTACATGCATGAGTCAGCGAGCGTTACCAAGGAAATAAATAATATGGCGACTGCCTGCGCGGAGCTCGAGTGCAGGTGCAAACGAAAAGAAAAGCCCGATTATTCAAATGCAAAGAAACAGAAATTCAAATATCTGCTGAAGTGACAAGATGAAGATGTTGTTGTCAGGGGGTGCTTGCACCCAGCGACAGGGTGACAGCACACCCTGTCAGCGAGAGTAAGTTCTACAACATAGAATAGATCGCAGCTGAGTTGCCGCGGATAGCGATAATACAACGGATCAAATAAGTTCTATTCCACTAAGGCTGCATTCGATTGTAGAAACTGGATCCCGATCCCCGCCGACCAGATCACTTCGATCGGACGGATACAATCGAATGTGCACAACCGATAATCCGCATCAAGGCCTTAGCAACCGCGTTGCTACAGCTCATCCCGTAGTATCTGTACGAATTGTGGTAAACTCTTGACCTAGTGTACGCATATTGGGAGTTTTGAGTTGATATGAGTCGTACCATGGAAATGAATCCGTCAAATCCGTCTCTGGGAGGTGGGTTGCTTGGATCCAAATCCGTGCTCTCGGGATCCGGATTCGTACAATCAAACATGTACAAATTTGGCGAATCCGGGTCCGGCGCTGATGGATTCGTACAATCGAACATGCCCCAATTGGCGTGTAAACAATTCTTTTTTCTCTTTTCTTTTTTTAATATTTTTTCTTTTTCTTTTTGTCATAAAATGGCTGTAAATACAGTCTAATGTAAATAATAACAATTAAACAATGTCCTCACTCGGTCTCGGACGTATACTCTGAGGTCGTACAGAAGCGGTTCTTCAAGCTCCCAACAAGCTCAGCCGGGAAGCGATTTGTAACATTGATGTGCGAACAGGTCCAGGACTTTGTTCAGTCTGCTGATACCCACAGAACAGCTCTGTACAACCTAGCCGTGCTCCCAGCTCTGTTACTACAACAAACGTATCGTCGATCCAAGCCCAAGGACAACACGAGTCACCTCCAGCGCCGGATGGCCCTCTGGGCAGATGGTAATATCACTGCTCTGGTTGAGGAAGGACGCTGCCTGCAACGGCATCGTGAGCCACACCGAGGAGCACGTCGACGAGGTGAGCAGGACAAGGCATGGCATTTTGTTTCCCTCATGGCAGAAGGACGTGTGCACGATGCCCTGCGTTCCCTATCTGAAGCTGAGTCCACGCAGTCATCCGGTGTGTTAGGTATCGATGACTCGATCACCATCAAGGACTCCACCACAACCGTGAGGGCAACCTTGGAGAGTAAGCATCCTTGCGGCACTCCAGCAGCAGAGCACATCCTGATAGCGGGAGCAGCGCCTCAGTGCCACCCAATCCAATTTGATTCCCTGACTGCCGACCTCGTCAAAACCGTGGCGATGCAGGCGAAAGGCTCGGCAGGTCCCTCTGGTCTTGACTCGTCATCATGGCGACGTATGTGCTCGGCGTAAAAAGGGGCCTCCAACAACCTTTGCTCGGCGATGGCATCCTTCGGCCGCTTGCTAGCAACCCAAACCTTGCCGCCAGACTCTCTCACCCCCTTCACCGCCTGTCGTCTAATTGCCCTGGACAAGAACCCAGGTGTCAGGCCCATTGGAGTGTCTGAGGTCCTCCGTCGCATTCTAGCCAAATCCATCCTCCGAGTAACGTCAGAAGATGTAATGGAGGCTTGTGGTTTTCTCCAGAAGTGTTCTGGATTGCCAGCTGGGAAAAAAGCAGCGGTTCACGCCATGATGCGCTTGTATGAGGACGCCACAACTGAAGGAGTCCTCCTAGTTGACGCGAAGAATGCCTTCAATTGCCTGAACCGCCAAGCAGCCCTTCACAATGTTCGCCACTTGTGTCCTTACCTGGCTACCACACTGCTGAACTGCTACCAAGATGATGCTCGCCTCTTCGTTTCTGGTGGTGGTGAGCTTTCCTCTGCAGAGGGTACCACACAAGGTGACCCTCTGTCGATGGTTTTCTATGCCCTCGCTACATTACCATTCGTACAGCACCTCCGCACTACCCACGCCAACGGTATGCCGATGATTCAAGTGGTGCAGCCAAGCTACGGGCCCTTCGACGCTGGTGGGATGAAGTGGACGAGACCGGGTAAGCTAACGGTTACCATGTCAACGCCTCGAAGACTCTCCTCCTCGACAAGCCGGACCTGCTCAACCTGGCCCACAGTGTCTTAGCAGGAACTGGCATTGAAGTGGTCACGGATGGAGCACGCTACCTGGGTGCCGCTATAGGGACACCGGATTTCATCGCTGGCTATACAGCTGGGAAAGTTCAAGACTGGCAGCAGGAGCTTATGCGACTGTACGAGATTGCCACTACCGAACCTCATGCGGCGTATGCCGCCCTCACACACGGATAGCGTGGTCGATGGACATATGGCCCAGAATCTGCGAAAACCAGGCTTAGGGTGAAATTTCACAAAATGCCTTTTTCCCATTTTCAGCTTCTACTGGGCATGGGTGGTCAGGAAACAAAATATGACAGCTGTGGGTCGACTCATAGTTGTATTAAAAGTATCTCAAACACCCCAGGGTATTGTGTTAAAAAATCCAAAAAAACACAAAATTGTTATCACAGGAAAGAAATGAAGAGAGATCCACCAGACTGAAGGAAGAGACATGGATGATTTTTGTTTAGGTGACATGACAAGGTAGGCATGTGGAGGCAGGCTTGTTGTGGCCCCTTGGTGCTGCAGGCTGTAGTGGCCACCCACAGTTCTACATGAATTTTGTTGTGTGTAATACGGTTTCTCACTGAGCACATTCTGGGGCTGCATACATGTACTGGCATGCTCTGGCGCTACACACCACAAGGAAACCCGACTCCAGTTGAGATGGCACCTTTTGAAGGGTGAATCTAGTACAACTGTTCAGAATCAAGCAAGAACACAGCCTTCCAAACTGTTCCACTATTCATAGTAAGCGCATAGTGTGCTGGCGTGCTGCAGTATCTGCTTGGTGCTGACCAGCAAGTGAAATATCAGCACGCCGTACAATCCCTTGCAGCTAGCTGTCCAGCGAGGAAAGTCTCGAGTGGGGGGCCTCTCGATCTGCTCGCTCATTCGCCTGGCATTCAGTAGCATTTCATCGCCAAGGACTTCAATTCAAAACAGTTTTCACACTGCGCTTCAAGCCTTTTTCCTCGTGAACTTGCTGCAAACGTATGAGCTCTGCTGCGCGTGTTCCCTTTGCGTGAGGCCCAGAAACAGCTAGTGTCTCCGTACTTCGGTTGGCTGGATCGATGTCGTCCAGGTTCTCCTCGCTATCGCCATCACGACTCTAACTGGAGACGATTTCTTCACCATTTTCCGCAAGCAGCAGCTAGCGCAGAAATTTCACCATCCCTGAGTGTAGGAGATGGAATCCTTTCGATCAGTTCAAAAACTCTTCACTGTGACTAGAGGAGTAGCAGGGAATATTCTACCGGAAGCCCTTTGACTTCCCTGACTGCTGAAACCCTTCCTGCCATGACTGCTACTTCTTCAAACAAGCGAGATTCTCTTTTGTTCCACTTCACTGCACTCGATCATCCACGCGACACAACCTTTTTACAAAACATCATTTTTCTCAAAAAAATGATGTTCACCCTAAGCCTGGTTTTCGCAGATTCTGGGCCATATTTCCTTCGTACCCTGGAGTTCTCAACTGAACAGCTGCA